CTACCAGATATATTAACAGATCAGTGTTTGCATTGATTGCAAGAAAAGCTTGAGGAAAGCAACGAAAGTTACTCACCTCTTCTTCCTCATAGTCCACACTGACCAACTCGTCAACCCCTTTAGCTTCGCCACCACTGTCTTCCCTCATGACATTAACCCGAGACCTTGTCTTATGCTTATTGGGACATTCCGAGGACCTATATCTTGATTCTCCACAATGGTAGCAATGACCCACACTACCCATTCCGCTAGGAGTAGGTTTTGTAGGTTACTACTACTTGTACCCACCAGGAGGAGGAACAGAGGGCCTAGGACCAGAAGAATCTACTGGTGGTCTCCAACCACCACCACCTTTGTTAACTGTTGCTTGTGAGCCTCTAGGGCGGAACCTACTTTCCACCCTTTATTTCCGATCACCTTGTTTATTCCCAGGATTCCTATTCTTATCCAAGTTACCAACATACGGTTGCTGATATTGTTCCATGAGTGAGTGACTAAAGGCAACTTGTTGTGCTGCCTCCTTACACTCCAGGTACGTCTTTGGCTTAAACTTCAAAATCTCATTGCGAGAAAATGAACTTAAACCCTCCAGAAAATAACTCTGAGCATCTTCATCACTCATATTTGCAGTTATAATGTGCTTCTAAGCAAACATATTAACGTAATGCATAAGGTCCCCTTGCTGCTTTAACTGTCGCAGCTTTGCACCAAGTCTCAAACCAAGATCATCCGGCAAGTATTCCTTACGGATACGAGACCGCATCTTGGTCCAACTTCTAGTCTGCCCTTTTTCAGCACACACCTGGCACCACCAAGTTTTGGTATGATCGGTGAGAAAGGACTGCGCACACGCAACTTTCATACGATCATCTACGTCTGCCGCTATGAAATAGTTTTCCATATTGTAAACCCAATCTTCCAAAACTTGATAGTCCCGCATGCCTCTGAAGTTGGGTGGTTTCGGAGGCTTGAACTTTGAAACTCGTGCAACCGAGGGCGGCTGCAGAACTTTATCGTCCTCAGAACTTGAGGAGGAGTCCAGTTCTTTTTTACCAACTGTAACACACTTTATCTCTCTCCCCTTAAACTAACTGGAAAAGGGGCAATTGCTTAATGAGAGAGCCCTTAGTGGCTATTTTATCCCCATTTATCCCCCAAGGTTTCAAGGATCCACGGTGACAGTATATTCAAATCTCATCCCATGATCACATGTGCTACACTCACCCCCCATTTAGAGATGTCAAGGGGAAAATTACCCCTATTGAGCCAAGGGGAACCAGCACCTCCATTTCCGCACTGAATCTACCAATCCTTCCATTGTGTAAATTAATTATTCCATGTGAAGCAACTAGTCATCCACCCGTACCACAGTCCCACAGTGGATACCTTCGTTCGTAGATACTCCACACAACAGGAAGGACGTATGTATGGATGCCCAATACGTACAATTTCAAATTTAGGGGTAGGAATATACCTTGCTCAAGGGTATATTATATTTTTAAGTAGCCACTAATCAATGGGAATTGAACCCATGCCATTTGCTCTGATACCAAATGTAGCGCACCTGAATTTGGAGCCGAACTCTAAGCCCGTTGCACTACAAAACGAGGGTCCAATACAATCCCACGAGCACCAGCTCTCTGTATCCAACACCTGCATGCAAAATGATGTCAGACGGAATTTGGCACAATTTTGGCATACCGGTGGCCTAACGTGAGGAGGAGGGTACCTCACCGACTAGAGCAGCATGGAAGCCAGATGCAGAACAAGGAGCGACACAGCCCAGTAGGAGCCAAATTAATATCTCAGATGGTCAGACATGCATTCCAACCACTATCCCTACTATACATTTTTGAACCCCCCCCCCTCCCCCCTCCCCTCTCTGGAACAAGTCTGAATCTTACCAAATATGGAATGGCCTTAGATTGCAAATTTGCACATAAGACGAACACAATTGTGTTCAGGCTGATCTCTACATGAGACTGACACAAAGGGCGTGATAGCAAGAGTGTTTGGCAGACACAATATTGAGGGACTAATTTCAACAAGTGAGGGTTTTTGCCAACCTAGTGTAAGACAGAGCAAAAGAGAATTAACAAGCTGGGCCAAATATGCTTGGCTAAATAGACACTTAAGAATTCCTTCTTTATGCTCATCCAGCCAAGTACAGATGCTGAGTCCAGTTTACTAACATTTGGACAAAAGGGGCTAATAAAGGGAACCAGCAGTACCGACCTCCTGTCGTCATGGCAGTAAGGAAAGAGTGCCAGTAAGGACTGGCTGACAAATATCTTTTGATACCCGAAATCACATTTGCGACAATGGATGATGTGGAGTGAATTTGTTTTCCCCATCTTACAGTACATGGTTTATCTAACAGGCTCCTTGCTTAGTGGAAAGGATTGTATCGAGTGTTACGGCAAATTGGACTACAAGTTTATGAAATTTGGCATGACGTCCAACATACCAGTCCTTCAAAAATTGTGCATATGCAACAATTGAAACACTTTATATAAAGGGATCAAGAATAATTGATACCACCTACATATCCACCAATACCTCCTCCTAATGTTCCTCCAGATTCTAGCCCATCTATAAGAAAAGAACTCTAATGGTCTTCCATTATTCCAAAAGGAAGGGATGATATGAAGTCCAAATGTACAATTACAATGCTGTATATTAATATTAGCATAATAGGATTTTAGTAGCCGTTGGATTGGTTTTAATCCAAACCATTCACTCTTACATATAAACTAAGGGTTTTAGGCTAATTGATATTCATATTTTCTATATTCCTTTCCTATATTCCATACACTCAATCACAACAGATTTTACTATAATCCATCAAATGGCTCATAAATTATCAAAACAGCTTGTCTCTTGTGCCTGTTTCCAGAAAAAGCGTGATAATACTAGACCATGCTTCCTAGCCTCGCTCCTACAACCCATCAAAAACCAGCATTGCTTCCTCAGATTGCTTGTAGCAAGCATACATCTCAATCAAAGCAATAGCAACCAGCGGATCAAACTGCAAAATCCCGCTGTCCAAGATACTATCGTGGATGATCTTCCACGAATATTCAACTATTTTTATTTAGTTTTTTTTTTAATCCCAAAGCAATAAACAGTTTTTATGTTTCGTATGAGCTCATGGCCCATGCTCGGGACCTTCAGGATTCATCAGGATAGAACAAGATCATCGTTAAATCCTCATTAGGCCGCAGCAGCAGCAGCAGCAGGCTGGGCCGCACCACCCAGCAGCGTCGCTTGTTGAGACTCGAGCTCCTGCAGCTGCTGGTCCCTGTCCACCTCAAAAATAAGCGGCACAACCAGCAGCAAAAGTGTTGTGCCTGCAATCCATGCCGCCTTGCCCGTGCTGCGCAGCACTCGACCTCCAAACACGCAAGTGCTGCTCACCGCACGCCTCGATTCGGCAATGCTGCTGCTCACTCGGCTCAAAACAGAGCCATCGCCCATCTCCAAAGATCAAAGAAACCTGAAAGACAAAAGTTCACAAAGTTTCGATCAAGATTTATAGGGCTCTCTGTCTCGACATCCAAATGGGCATCAGGTCTCCAAGGTGAGGCATCACACCAATGTGGTCAGCCGCAAATTACCCATTAAGAATCTGTCATCCTCTGCCCAAACAACAAGAAGAAGAAAAAGAAGAAGAAGAAGAGGGCACTCAGTATGAGTAGGAGGTTGTGTAGAATCAAAGGGGGATGTTTCTTCCCCGCTCATCAACCCAAATTCTCTCATCACTGTGCTACCAAAGACGGAAAACACCGCATACCTGGGCTCCCTCGCTTATAAGCACTCCATGGCCGCCGCCTCTAGGGTTTAAGCTGGGATATTTGAGTATATTCTCTGCTTAGGGTTTAGCGCTGTTTTGTTAGGATAAACAGTACATTTCCTACATGTTGCACTGCTGGTCTAGTGGCAGAATAGTACCCTGCCACGGTACAGACCCGGGTTCGATTCCCGGGCAGTGCAAAATATTTCAAAGGTATTTTGCTATTGTTTAAACCGTTCCCCGTGCAAATTTTTCTTTTCAACTCTTTGAACCTCTGAGATTAAATTAGTGAGCTATGAGATTCCATGCCCGTGGGAGCGAGGAGGAGCAATTCCGCCTTGCATCGAGTAGAGAGAGATGCGGGGATTTGCAGCAGAAATTTTTCGAAAAAATACCAAGTATCACTTGACAACCTCTTGCAGCATTTGTCGTTAAATATATAGAACGCAGTGTGAGCTGCCCGTGGCTCCAAATCCCTGACATCCAGATGCAAACCAGTGGGAATTTCATCACTTCCATGACCGCAAGAAATTAAGTTTGAGAGGGAAACTTGGTCCTCAAACTTCTAACAACTTTTTTGGAGCTTTACATCCTAAACCTTGGATCTTTGTGCTCGCAGCACCCATGAATCCTTTCTGTTTACCTACGAAGACTTTAGTAAGAGGAATTAACTTGGGGTGTTTACCCTTTATGTTAGAGGAATCGTGGCCGAATAATAAAACTGTTCTCCCGACAAGCAAAGCTCGTGATCTTGACCGAAACCGGTGGCCTTTGGAGCGAGTGATTTCGACCGAGCCTTGGATAACATCACCGTCTTCAATCACTAGTGGAAAACCTATCGATCACAAAGAGAGAGAAAAGCTGTTGTCCCCACCTGGAGAGGTTGTCTTTGGCAAATCCAAAGAGTGAACGAGCATAGGACATGCTATCAAATAAGAAGTCCGGCTGCCTGCGATCAGCTTGAGTTTTCCTACAGGCACTTATATGTCGTGAGCAGAATCGTTCACGACTGCCTGGTGCATCTTTGGTTTCCAAAGATTCTATATTCTATGCATGGGCATATGCTCTAAGCATCTCAGGCATTGATACCAGCGAAGTCCACGGTGACTGCCACTGTGCCTTGGCACGTGTCTCAAGCACATTGAGCGTCTCCTAGCCCACGTTATTCACGCAAGGCCTGTCTAATAGCATAAATACATGTCTTCCTCCACACTATAATACATACCACTCTCCTGTTGTTGTTATCTTTGCAGTAGCACGGTTTAATCCTTGCGAAGCAAATCCCATGGACAAGGCAGCAAAGATCACTCTTGTTCTCACACTCACTGTTGCATTTGCATTTGCCTCACTCGAGTCCACCAATGCTGTTGAGATAGCTCCCAACACAAAGTTTGTGCCGGCTTCTTCTCTTCTCTCATACTTCAGGAGCCTGAAAGAGCTGGAGTGCATGCCGCACTCTCAATGCTGCCCCGACTCCAAGCCCTGCCCATCAGAGGACCAGGAGTGTAAGATCTGTGCCCACACTTATCCTGCACTGTGCTTCTGCACGGACAAACCTGAGCTTAACAAGCTGATGCTGTAATCTGGAGGTATGCATAACTTATCTCATGTTTCTTTATACTCTGTGCTAAGCATTTGTGTGTCCCAGAAGATGGTCTACCTTTGTACACCTTCTGATCTGAAGAGTAGAGTAATAATTTCTTTATGTGCCCATTAATGGCTGTGAAGTGCCTATCTCTTTGATAGCCATGAGGTGATCCAAGTCTGTTCAATTCACTAAGACACAAAATTTGTGAAATTGAAGATAATACATCAAGCATCAATCTTTGTTGTTTTTCTCTGTGTGACCATGGCAGCCAACATGACTGCTGGTCTACTGGTAGAATAGTACCCTGCCACGGTATAAACCCGTGTTCAATTCCCCGACACTTTGGGATGTTTCTCCTTTTTTTGAGTCTCAGAGAGTTCAACTGGGGATTTCTGCTTCAATACAGGCGTTTATATTTTAGATATCTACCAATGTAAAGATAAGGCATTTAATCGAGCTCGCTCGCTCTGTTTGGTTTTTGTTGCTACTTCCCTCTTGACAACAAGCTTTTCATCTGGCAGCATCCGCCCTGACTTGATTGTATTGTCATTAGCATCAATCAAACAAAAAGTACCAGTCTTCACCGATATGGAACGCAGTGCGAGCTGGCTGTGGCTCCAATCCAGATGCAAACCAGTGGGAATTTCATCATTTTCACGGGCCACCATGACAGCAACTCGAAAGTACGTTCGAGAGGGAAGCTTGATCCTCAAACTTAGCAACTTTTGGGGGCCATAGATCATCTATGGATCATTAAACCTTTCACGATTGTTTGTCTAAAAGTGCCACTTTTGGATAGCAGCATCCATCCTTTATTTTACCCGAAAACTTTAGTACCAGGATGAAAAACGAATTAGTTAATATTCACTTTTAAAAGTCATGTACCCTTTCGTGAGTGTCAATGTCTATAGTTTTGCTTGAAAGAATCAGGAAAATCTTAGTTTTCACTCGATAAAGAAGTTGCAAACCGTTGCCGGATAAAACTGTTCTCCCGACGAGCGAAGCTCGTGAGTGATCTTGACATCCATGAGCCGGTGATTGTCTTTGGAGCGTGTGATCTCGATCGAGCCTTGGACTACATCGCCGTCTTCGATCACCAGTGGAGGCTGGAGAAGGAAAACCTGTCGAGAGAAAAATAAGTCTCACTAGCAGTAGCAAAGAGAAACGCTTCAAAGCACCTGTTGGCCCCAGTGTGTTGTATCAGTGTCACTTGGAGAGGTTGTCAACTCGACTTCCTTGTCCGCTGGATTCGACGCATTCCCCTGGAAAGCCACACTAGTTAGAGAAAAGGAAAAGAGAGAGAGAGCGGGAGAGATTTCATCATCCGCAAAGAACGAAAGCGGACCCGAAAGTGAACGTCAAACCAGCCGGCAAATCCACAGAGCCTATCGCTTCCAGAAAGTGTAAACGAAAATCGCGACTTCACAGCAGCAATGTCCTGGAGCGTTGCATTGGAGCAATCGATCTCTTTAACAACAACCGGGTCGCCAATCACTTGACCCGGATATAAGTTCGACCATAAGGACGTCTGGAAGTGAAAAAAAAACATCGTTTTTAGCTAGGTAGTCTAGAGAAAAAGAGAGACATTTTACCTGTAAGTAGTATTTTTTTTGCTCCTCGTGATATGGCATTGTCAGGGTGCTCATATCAACACCATACGCCTCATTTAGCTCTTGAGCAAAGTAGCTCCAATCCGCCAGTGATTTCTGATACTCTTGATTCTTTTGCTCTACGAGTTTGGTCTTTATGGGAGCAAACCACATACGAGCATGGCTGGGATACCTGAGCAACAAAAAAAGATTGTGAGTGAGCCAGTGTACAAAAAGGAGACAAATCAAAAACTACATACATCAATCCAGATGGTTTGAGCCAACGATCACGCGCATAAATCACCGAATCAAACATAGATTCACGAACAAGGAAGTAGCCCATCCACTCGGAGATGATCACATCGACTGCTCAGCACGAAAGTCACAAAACAGCCCTGGTATATAGTCGCATCGCATAACACACACACACACACACACACACTGTCTCTTCAGCAAAGAGACGAAGAAACACAAACGAGAAGGAAAGAAAGACGCAAGGGAAAAGAAAACAACACTCACCTTTCTCGGGAATGGAAACATCCTCAATCGACCCCTCGATCACTTCCACAATGTGGCTCACTCCATTCGCGCTCGCCAAGCTCCGCGCGTGGCGAGCCATGTTTGTAGCTTCCACCGCGTACACCTTCTTAGCACCGGCTTGCGCCGACCAAATCGCCAAAATCCCACTCCCAGTCCCCACGTCCAAGACAGTCTGCTCGATCCAAAACCATCGATTGAAACAAGAAGAGTAAGAAGAGAGATCTCCTACCTTTCCCTGGAAATGGCGCTTGTTCTTAAACACGGCCGAGTGATAGGCATCCATTCTCACCCGATCCGACAGCATATCCTTTTGGTGATAGAGATACGAGTAGGTGCAGAAGTAATTCGCGAAATCCACCGCCTTGTCGACGGGCGCGCCGCCTCTCGCGCTCTCCATCCTCACCGCCACCGCTGCCTGTAAAACCCTAGACGACATAGATCCAAAACCCTAGACCCAGACCGTACAGACACGTCACCATACCGTACTAACACGTCACCATTAAGACATTATCGTTCAAACAGGTCAACTCTCAAACAAGCTTGAGAGTTTTATTATTATTATTATCAGTAGCGAAGTGCGTGGCTATCAAAGAAACAGCCACTAATGCACCAATTGCAAAGCGGAAAATACAGAAGACGGGCGACTTATGAAGAATGGAGGAACAAATGTCTTTATGTGTTAAAACTAAGTGGTTGTGGGACACATAAATGCTTAGCACTGAGTATAAAGAAACATGAGATAAGTTATGCATACCTCCAGATTACAGCATCAGCTTGTTAAGCCCAGATTTGTCCGTGCAGAAGCACAGTGCAGGATAAATTTTGGCACAGATCTTACACTCCTGGTCCTCTGATGGGCAGGGCTTGGAGTCGGGGCAGCATTGAGAGTGCGGCATGCACTCCAGCTCTTTCAGGCTCCTGAAGTATGAGAGAAGAGAAGAAGCCGGCACAAACTTTGTGTTGGGAGCTATCTCAACAGCATTGGTGGACTCGAGTGAGGCAAATGCAAATGCAACAGTGAGTGTGAGAACAAGGGTGATCTTTGCTGCCTTGTCCATGGGATTTACTTCGCAAGGATTAAACCGTGCTGCTGCAAGGATAACAACAACAGGAGAGTGGTATGTATATAGAGTGGAGGAAGACATGTATTTATACTATTAGACAGGCCTTGCATGAATAACGTGGGCTAGTTGACGTGCAACTTGAGACACGTGCCAAGGCACAGTGGCGGATAAGATACAGTCATATGCCCACGTGGACTTAGCTGCTTCAGGGGTATTCCCAGGATGGGCATCTGGCATCGGCAAAAGGGATCGTTGATGCAATGAATGAGGGGACATTGTCTCTTGGAATGAGATGCTTAGTGCATATTCCCATCCCCAGAATATAGAATTTTTTGACAGCACACTTAGAGAGATGCCACAGGTGGACTTGGTCTCGTACGTGGACGATTCTGCTCACAGCATATGCCCAGGCTGGGAATCTCCATGACCAGATGACCTGGTATCTTGTACCACGAGCAAGGCACTAACGTTCCACGTGGGGTATTGTGTCAAACATGACACACCCTCGCCTGGTTGACGACAAGGAAGCTGTTGGAATCGATGCCGTATCGCTACGGAGTGACGTGGAATGTCATGCTTGCCATCCTTAACTACAAATCATAATGAATTTGATGCCCACCAGAGACACAGCATATGCCCATTCGCGGCATCCAAGGCTCTCCTTTACATTCTCAATTTGGAGGGTGTTAGTCAGGACTAAGTAACATTTATGTGAGCATTCTTACAGCATTGAGCCACTCCGGCCTGGTTCAATGGAGTTTGATTATTTTGTGTTTTCAGACATGATTTACGTTCTTGGTAGACCTGGACTTGTGAATGAACCTTTTTATAGCATGCTAGGATCAGGGTAAGGTGGCGGTGGCGGCATTCCTGATATCCGAGTCAAGTGATTAGCGACCTGGTTGTAAGAGATCGATTGCCCAATGAAACGGTCCAGGACATTGCTGCTGTGAATTCGCGATTTTCGTTTACTCTTTTTGGAAGCGACAGGCTCTGCTGGCTGGTGTTCACGCTTTCATGATAAAATCCTGCTCTATCCCTCTCTCTTTCTTTTCGCTAACTCTACTAGTGTGGCTTTCCTCGAATCCAGCAGAGAAGGAAATCGAGTTGACACCAATTGTGGAGCACGCATATGCCCGAAATGGACATGAAGCGATGCTAAGAAGCTCCTTGACGCTGCGCCGGTCGAAAGCATTGTGTTGTGGACTTCGCTGCTTCAGGGATATTCCCAGGATGCACACAGAGCCCCAAGACTCTCCTTTACATTCTCAATTGGAGGGTGTTAGTCGAACATTTATGAGCATTCTTACAGAGCGTTGAGCCACTCAGGTCATTTGAAAGAGGCCTGTCAATACTTTGGATCGATGGAGTTGGTTTCCAAGGAAGATCACAGTGGTAAAGCTGGACTTGTGAACGAGGCCAAGGACCTGTTTGATAGCATCGCCGTACGATCCGGGTACGGCGGCATTCCTGATGGTCGAACTTATATCCGAGCCTGTTGTTGTGAAAGAGATCGATTGCTCCAATGCTGTTAAGTCGCGATTCTCGTTCACTCTTTAGGCTCTGTGGATTTGCCGGCTACTTTTGGTTCTTGCGGATCAGAAAATCTCTCCAGCTCTCTTTTCCTCTTCCCTAACTCTATTAGTGTGTCTTTCCAGGGAAACTCGTCGAATCCAGCAGACAAGGAAGTCGAGTTGACAACAACTGGACAAGTAAGATAGTGTTTGTACAGTCCAAGTGACACTGACACAACACACTGGAGAAAACAGATGCTTCAAAGCGTCTCTTTGATCTTCCTTCTCCAGCCTCCAGTGGTAATCGAAGACGGTGATGTTATGCAAGGCTCGATCGAAATCACTCGCTCCAAAGACAATCACCGGCTCATGGATGTCAAGATCACTCACGAGCTTCGCTCGTCGGGAAAACAGTTTTATCCGGCCATGGTTTGCAACTTCTTTATCGAGTGAAAACTAAGAGTTTTCTGATTCTTGCAAGCAAACTATAAACATTGACACTCACGAAAGGCTAGCAGCTCTTCATGGCTTTTAAAAGTGAATATTAACTATTTCTTTTTCATACTATTCCTCCTGAGTTCCAGGTACTAAAGTCTTCGTGGTAAACAGAAGGAAGAATAGAGGATACATGGGTGCTGCGAGCACAAAGGTCCAAATCACCAATGGCACTGACTATATTGTTGTTCTTCGTGACAGGTTCAGGATGATCTATGGTGTGAAGCTGGGAGTTGTCCCCCCAAAAGTTTCTAGAAGTTTGAGGATCAAGCTTCCCTCTCGAACTTACTTTCGAGTTGCTGTCATGGTGGCCCGTGAAAATCATGAAATTCCCACTGGTTTGCATCTGGATGTCAGGGACTTGGAGCCCCAGGCAGCGTTCTATATCAGTGAAGAAAATGGCACTTTCTATTTGACAGATGCCAACGACAATACATTCAAGTCAAGTCGGATGCTGCAAGATGAAAAGCTTGTTGTCAAGTGATACTTAGTCCAAAAAGGAAGTAGTAACAAAAACTAAACAGAGCGAGCGAACTTTCCAACGTCTCTCTACATAAGAGCTGCAAATCCCTGTATCTTTGCTTGATATGAGTTGAGTGGAAATCCATGTATCTTTGCTTGATTTGAGTGGAAGAACAATTGTATGAGGTAAAATCTTCTACTCATGAACGCCTATCATAGTTCAGCTGTTTCCAAATTCCAATCAAGTATACTTCAGCTATTTCCAAATTCCAATCAGGCATTAAATTGAAGCACTCAGACGCAGCTGAGCTGAACTCAGAAATTCTTGAGCTCAAAAATGTCAAAATAAAGAACCCAAACATTTGCACTGCCCGGGAATCGAACCCGGGTCTGTACCGTGGCAGGGTACTATTCTACCACTAGACCAGCAGTGCATTTCATACTTAAGACTATACACACTTGACCTAACACGTAATTACATTGGTGACTTGGATATCCACACGGGACAACGTGGCATGCCACGTGTCGCTCTAGGCGGTGCCCGAGACCCCGATATCGTCTTCCTTCTTGGCGTCCGGCTGGCCAAAGACGGGGCCTCCATGCCCGGCGGCCTCGTCCTTGTGCTGCTCGTCCGTGCCCATCTTCACGGGGATGCCATGGGCGTCTTCCTTGCTATCAACGCGCTCCTTGATCTTGGCGCCCTCCTGGCTCTCGTAGGTGGTGTCGGTGAATGATCCCGGGGGAAGAGCTCCCTGCGCTCCAGACATCGCTACAAATCCACAAAATCACACCGATCCACACTCCAAAATCCCCTCCGGAGTGATTCTTCTTCCTCCCCTGAATCGGAAAAACAAACCCAAAAGCGTCGAGAAGACGAAGAGCTTACTAATCGATCGATCGGATCCTAGACCTCTTCCACTCTGGAGTGACAGAGAGTTTATCCAGATTGGGGATTTATATGCGAGCTCGATGGTGTCTCGCGGTGTCTCGCGGTGACCAGTGTCCTCCCAGGTGTCGAGAAACCATCCACCGGCAAAGCTAAATGGAGAGACTAGAAAAAGAGGGAAAAAATTCCATGGTCAATTTCCTTGGAGAAACCTTACAAAAAACTCTCTCTAGCCCGATCCAACGATGATGTTGTTGATCGGGATGAAGATGAGCTTGACGAAGAATCCGATGAATCCCATCACTACGAATCCCGCCGCTGTCCTCAGCGCGACCTTGGTATACTCTGCAGGAGCCCACGAATCGATCAATCCAATCAGAGATCTAGATCTATAAACCCTAATTCTCGCGAGAGAGAGCGAGATCTCTCTTACCTTTGCGATCCGGCTTGTGGCAGCGCTTGACGAGCCGCAGGCTGTCCTTGGCGAATTCCTTCATCGGCCGCACGACCACATCCACAGCCTCCATGTCTTCCTTTTCTCTTAGAACCCTAATTCTCCCCCTGGGCCCTCAAATAGCGCCACAGTTAAGAGAACCCGTTTAAAAGGCAGATGTTGACCATTAGGGCTTTGTTGACCTTTTGGTTGATTTTGTTGACTTGACCAACGGTACCATTCTTCGTTGACTTTAGTTGGCTATGGATGCTAAGCTCGGCCTAGGGCGATAGCCAATCTAGCGCTTCTTTCGATCGAGAAGCTTGGGGAGAGGATCTAATTCCAATCGCGATTCCGTCTGGAAGAAAGGGCATGATCGCCACCAGTTCCTCCGCCTCGATCAATCGCCCCACCCGCCCCAGCAAATCCACGCTGTAGTGATGGAGCCCCGGAGAGTTCCGTGGTCGCGCTGGAACTCCATCCCGAGGCCGTGGCCGAGCCGCCCACTGTGGCTGCTGCCCGCGATCAAGCTGAGGAAGATCGATCCGTCCCAGCATCTCCCGGAAGAAGAGGATATCCTCGCCGGCATAGCGATCGCGAGGATCGCCGGAGGAGAGGACCGAGATCCACGCCACGAGATCGGCCTTTGCCGATCTTTCTCGCGCTGGCCGTGTCGCCCACCCATCACTGAGGTGAAAGCCGCGAGATCTTTCGTAGGAGATCGCACAAGAACTTCCCGCGATTGGTGGAGCTCGCCACACTGCGAGAGCCCCGCGACCATCACTGTCCACAACACTGGATTCCTCTCGCGCATCGATCACGCGGTGGCCACCTCGCCGGATCGAAGATCTTGCGCGACGCCTGGAAATCGCCGCGCCGGGCGTTGACGATCGTGCTGGCTATCATGTTTTGTTCCAGCGTCTTGGATCGCGAGTAGAGCTCGCAGTGATTCCTTATATCGGCCAGCATCATCGAGAGTGCACGCTAGGCTTTGTCGAGAGAATCCTCTTGCTGTTCTTGAGCTTAAGCTTGCGTGATCGCCGTCCACATCACGGATCTCGCTGGGGGGATCGATCAAACAGCTCTTTGGATCGCTCCACGAATCCATTCCCGCAGTAGGCCCCCAGGGGCAAGGCCGATCTCGTGGCATGGGTCTCGATCCTCTCCTCCGACGATCCTCGCGATCGAGATGAGGACGGCCTTTCAGAAAAGAGCGTCTTTGCATCGTCCAGGAACTCGTTCTCGTCGGTGGTAGTCGACTCTTCCTTGCGAATCTTCTCATCCAAATGTATGGAAAGTGTGGCTGCATAGACGGTGCTAACCCAATGTTTTCTCGTGGAACCTTTGTCACTGGACCTTGTGTTTCGGACTGCTACGGACTGAGACCAAACCAGACCTTGCATCTGATTAGCTTAATTGCCATGTCAACAAAGTTTATACTTTAATTTTGGCACTGCACAACTTAGATTTGACCACATTTTGGGCTGCGTTCACCATCATCAAGGGCGTGTTCGACACCTGCAAACAAAAAAGTCCAGAAATCTTGCTTGCATGGGCGTGTTTTGGAAGCTGGAGAGATGTTTTGGGATTCTCGAAAGAAGTTTAGTTCAACTTACGGAAGAATGGTGATACTGAGAAGTTTGTGATTGATCTCCTTCTTGGAGTGTAATTTCCTATATGACACTACTTAGAGTTATGCCCATAATGGGCATTTGGAAACTTGCAAGACTGATCTAATGCCAGAAAGCAATGATATTTCATGGAATTCACTCACCTCTGTGTTCGCTAGAAAGGATCAGGTCGAAAACGTTTTGAGATCTAGCACCTTCTATGGGAGGAGAACTAGATATGTTCTAGAACTTCTAGGAATAACTTGAAGGAAGATGCCACAGCGGTCTAAAGTTTCGTGGAGCAGCCTCCTCTCGTTCTAACCTTTGAGTCGATGCCCAAGCGCAATGTTTTCTCGTGGACTTCGTTCCTCTCGCCGCATTCCAGCGCCGAAGATCCCACACTTGCGCAGGAAATCTTCCCGGCGATCAACGAAGTTTCCGTGAATTCCATGATGAAAGCCTTCGCGATGGCGACCGATGAGTTCCAATGAAAATCTTGGACCGCAAATGCCCGCGCTACGTGTTTTTGAAAAGGAATAGAACCAAACCTTTCACCTATCTAAAGTTTGGTAAATGGGGGAAATTTTGAGTAGGAGTATCTCCTAGCCTATTCTTCTCAACTGAGCCATGGAATGGAGAATAAAGATTCGCAAAGCTCGCTCCAGGCTGCATTGGCTACTCTTGCTTGTTTTGATTGCTTACCTTTTTATTGGCCATAAACTAGAGAGAGGAATTGGCTCCAGGAAATGGTCACACACACAAAGAAGAGTCCCAAGAAAGATAAAGGCCCTGGTGGATCTATGGAGCAAGGTTTTGGAGCGAGGTCACAGCAGCACAAATCTTCCAAGAGCATTACTTCCACCTCACATTCAAGATTGCAAAAGATGTGAAGAGCTCCACACCAAGATGGACAATCGTGGAAAGAATGGTGAATTGCCTCCTTGGAACCTATGGAAAGATCTTGTGGATGACAATATTTCCTCAAATTCTTCTCTAGCCATACCATGGGCAAGTATATCCCTTTGGAAGTGTGAATTTGATTAACAAAGTATATGATCTAGCAGGTTCATGGCAGTGATGACGATAATCTCCCTCTAACAAGGCTTGTCCAGCAGGATTTGTGGCTGCATCAACACCCCAAAAACTGCAGCAATGCAAGATTCCTCTTGGCCCACTGGCACAGCCAGACCGCACCTATTGGTGTTGGATCTCAGATGGTTTTTCTTTCAGCAATTCTTTCCTCAGCTGTGAGTGAGGGGAGAGTTTTTATTACACTGCCCTTCCCTGGAGCAGATCATGAGGGATGCACTGGTTGGTTTTTTGAACTTAGAATTTCTCACTTTCAATAATATTTTTAAATCCATGTTGCAGGGTCAAATCACTTGAGGTGGTCTTGCTACTTTGCTCCAGAGGCCGCTAAGGAATGCATTCACAGAGCTTTGGAGCTTTATTCAGATGAGTCTGCTTGGAAATCAGGGATATTGAAACGCTCAGACAATGTTTTTGATCCATGGGCTGGTGTACCAAAGTTAAGTTCCATTTCTCTTTAATTCTATATACTAAATCATAGTCAGTAGACATTGGGGAGAGCCTTGGAAGAAAATGCAACCAACAGAAGAGCTTGATGGAAATCTCATTGCAAACACCAATGAGACCAATGAACGAGTATGGTGGAGAGCTCAGGTAATTAAACTATTGGATCTCGTTGATTATGCCAAAACACATTAATGATCAGGCATATCGCTATCTTCTGCGCTTTCCCAGTGAATACTTATGCAACTTACTTAACCAAGCCAGGCATCGAGCATTCGGAGTAAATGCCGCTGAAAAGGTCATGTTGTCGATTACAAAAGATTGGCAGCTCAATTCATCCCAGCCAGACGATGCAAAAGTGTGGATTCCACGACCCATCGTGAGCGTGCATGTAAGGCAAGGGGATAAAAGCTACGAGATGACCCTCCATCCTTTGAAGGATTACATGAACCTCGCCAACGCTTTGCGAAGAAAGTTTCCGGAATTGCACAGCGTGTGGCTCTCCACGGAAATGCAGGTAAGAACAATCTCACTTCAAGCATTGCAATAAATCTTGATGATCTTGCCTTGAACAAGACTGTGGTTGACGAATCCGACGAGTTCACAGACTGGGAGTTCTACTTCACGGAAGTGAGGAGGCAATATGGCACAATGCACATGACCGAATATATGGAATCTCTAGGTACCAAGACAGCATTTGACAACAGCTTTGTCAACTTGGTGATGGCTCTCGAGGCTGATTTCTTTGTGGGCGCTTTGGGATCAAGCTGGAGTTACGCCATCAATTGCTTGAGATTGACTGGTGGCAAACTCAAGGTTGGTTTTCTCACAGTCAATATTAATACAGTATTATAGGTTTAGGGTTTAAGGTTTGAATTGTAAACCTTAATATCCCAAAACAGAGAATATACCACATTTTTGAAAATGTTAAGGCAACCAACTTAGAACCTTCTCCTTGCCTAGGGAAGTTTCCTTTTAGTGTAAAAACAACACGCTGCCAATGCATCTTGGCCTTTAGTGCATCAGGAATTGAGAGGTGTGATAACATCTTTCCTTCCTCGAAACAACTTGAGCAGCAGAAGTTCAAAGCTCGTGAGAATCTCTGGCATTTTGTGCTTCGCTGAGTTGCAAAAGAAGCTTTTGGATGGAGATTCTCAGCCAAAAGAGAGAAGAAACAATCTAGAAAAATAGCTGTAATTGTACGAGAAGTCTATGATTTCAGGGTCTATAGACAATCTAAGTCTTGCATGGGTCTATTAGATCCATGTTTGCAATTGATGGGCGAATGGATTTGATTTTGGGAATTTGAGGAGCGTTACATCGGTGGCACTAAAGACAAGCAGCTCGTTTTTAATCGCGTTGCACCAAAATCAAGCACGGTGGCATCAATCGTTTGTCTAGCGAATAGACAATTGCTGGGGTTCGTAGCTACAAAGATGTAGTCAAACTTGTCATGTTTGTAGGCTCTCAAAGAAAAAAAACAAAAAAACAAAAAAAAACAGAATAGTCTTTTTTTTTTCTCCCTTTAAAGGACAAGAAAAACCAAGGTTATACGATACAGTCAATCATCGCGGCCGCCGCATTACCACATAACTTCGCTGTGAATTTACAAAACTTTGTAAATCGTTTTCTTTAAGTAGCAGCCGCGCAGGCTTTAAATATCACACACCATCGCGGGCGGCGTCTAGCATTTCTTTCTTCGCCTTCTTCTTCTCTTTCTTTTTTCTAGTACTTGTGGAAGCGAAGATTTTCTTGATCTTGAGAACTTCAATCTGTTCATGCAAAAAATTCAGTCGACTTTGCAAGTTCCAAGCCAAGATCACACTCTAGAACTTTAAATTTTTCTTTTTTCTTATCTGGTCAAGGCTGGAGCAATGCTCCCACTGCACGAATGCAAATGCCAAGCACATGGAAGAGCTTTAATGTGTAGATGTTGATCTTTGATGAGAGTTTCATCTCCAGATCTTATCAGTTCTTCTAATCGTCCTCGCTGCGAAAAAAAAGAAAGCATGCGAAGTCTCTCTCGTTTTTTCTTCCTTACTTTCTCACCGTTGCTGGTGTGTTGATTTCTCCCCTTTTTTTTCGGCTGACATGTGTTGTTCATTCTTCATAAAAGGCTGCTGTTGCTGCAAGCTGAACATCGCGGCTGTGCAAATGGTGCTCTGCCAAGGAAAAAGAAAAAATAAATATCAAAATAAAATAAAACAAAGACTCAGCCAGTGATTGATTTTCCATTTTTTCTTTTTCCTTCCCTTCTTTTTCCCAGGAAAAGACCAAACCTGTGAGACCGACTCTTCATCCATCCCTCTTTTTTACCCTGTCCCCTCTTCTCTTTCTCATCTTCTCTTTCGGCTAACTCAAATCTGTCATTGCGTAGAAGGAGATAACTTCGCTCAAGTTTATGATCTCCAGACTCATCGACCTCTTCGTCTCAAAAATCCGAGATTTTTGACCGAGAGTGATAACGAACAGCAGCACTCTCGACTCCCTCTCTCCAACTTGACAAACTCTCTATCGATTCAATGAAGAAATCCGGTTGAGAAGTTTTACTCACCTCGGTCGCAAGTTTCCAATATTTGCTTTTGCGTTCTCCTTCCTCGTATTTCTTCGCGGTTGAATCGCCAATGGAGGGAATCACCGACGAGCCACAGCGGCAGAGATTTGAGCAGGGCTACAGGCTCGTCGCTGGGTGAGTAGCATTGAATTTGAGCTCCTGGAAGCACAAAATTTCGAGTTTTAGTTCGTAAACGAAATCTCCTTTTCTTTTTTTCTGTCTAGCTGCATACCGTATCGGCTCAAGAAAGGAGGCTCCACTCCCCACGCTGTTGTTGACAATGTCCGAATTCTCATGATCAGTTCGCTCAATGGCCATGGCCTCGTCTTTCCAAAGGTACGCGACTGTTTCTTTCTCGTCTGGTTTCTCACCGCGTTTCATTGTCTCTCGTTCGTCTCTCTTTCGTCTCTCTTTCGCGTCTTCTTCCAGGGAGGCTGGGAGTTTGATGAGACTGTCGAGGACGCAGCTTGCCGAGAGGCTGCCGAAGAAGCCGGCGTTCGAGGCCAGATCAAGGTTCTCATAGTAGTACGATGTTCTTTAAGTTTCTCACTCGATTCTTGTCTAAAATCTCCCAGGAAGAGCTCGGTCACTGGATCTTTGCGAGCAAACGCCACGACATGGTGTGCACCAAAGGCAACTGCAAGGCATACATGTTTGCATTAGAAGTGACTCAAGAGCTCGAGACCTGGCCCGAGCAGGAGGCTCGACGTCGTCAATGGGTAAATGCCTGGAGAGAAGAGGAAGAATTTAGAATGAACTCAAACTTAGCTCTCTCTCGTTCTCTTTCAGTTCACAATTGCCACCGCCATTGAGAAAGTTCGTCACGCCTGGATGCGCGAAGCTCTGGAGAAGTGCCGGGAGTATTTGCAACAGCAAATCCGCGATCAACTGCAACCGACCCCGTGCGTGAGAGCGATAAATCCTTTCCAGAAAAACATAGCTCGCACTTACCGGTCGGATGCTAACAGTGGTTTTTACTTCCAGGACAGAACGGGACGCCTCTAACAAGTGTAACATAATGGAGCGTCTCAAGCAGGCAGGACACCCAGATCCTATGCTGGATCTTGTGGAAGTTGTAGCATGCATTGTCAACTAACGAACGTTTGAGAAGAAGAAGGTCACCCCCTTTCCCCCTTTTTTTTCTCCAAGATGGATCGATAACTCAAGACAATAAGATGGATCACAGGCATGCAAGAAATGGAAGTCGTCCTGAGTCAAACGAGAAAAAAACAAAGAGTCATCAAAAGTCTGGTCTGAAAAGCTGTGAATCTGTGTACTTACTTGTCGCGGAAGTTGCAAAAGGGTGCTGACAGCTACCTTAGGCTCTGAGCGGCGCCTTGAAGCAATCCGACAAGAACCCCTTCTCCTTCATGGCCTGTGTGAGCCTGTCCGCCTGGATGTGCCTCCCTTGCTTCCTCAGCCCATTCATGAGCGTGTTGTAGGCAACGTAGTCTGGAGCACAGCCCGAGCATGTCATCTGCTGGAAGTAATCCACCGCTTGGT